ATAGAGAGAGAGAATTAAAGAAATATTATCCGGTATTCGCGCATTCTTAGGAGTTTTATCTATCCCCCCCTCCGCCAAGTTAGGAACGACGCCGTTTCACACGCATATCTTGTAACCCATAGTTCTGATGTTGCGACACTATCCTCTAGAAAACAGCTGACATTGAGCAAATGTCGTTTTCATTAAAGTTGACTTTCCCATAATTCTTTGTACAGTAAATTACGTCATAAATAAATCAAGTTAACAACAATCAACAATGGCGTAAACAGTTAACGGAAATTGATAGTCTTAATTCTTTAATCTTTTTAATTCTTATCTAAATACCTACATTTATTAGAATTTAGCAACAGAAATCGTCGGGAGGAGGATAGGGATTATAAGAATAAAATGGGCGACGATAGTATTTTTCTGCTCTCAGGGCAGGACCGTTCAAGAACTCCATGTTGGAAAAAATCCAAATTCCTGTGTCCTCTTCTCTTCACTTTAGGTGATCTTTAATCAATCTTTTGTAAGACTCTTAGTAAAACCCAAAATGGTTAACATATATTTTCCAAGACATGATACAAACAAAATATGCGCAGCCTATATTCCGGGTCCGTCCTAGTCATAGTATACGTTTTTTTGGACCCCTCCCCCTCCTATCAATTTTGGGGTCCGTCCTAGAGAACGATTTTTGGACCCCCCCCCCCGGACCCCCCCTCCTATCAATTTTGTATATGACCACTTATTTTTCAGAAAATTTATTTATTTATTATTTAGGGTTAGGTTAGGTTAAGACACTTTCTGGGCCGAGCGCTGCGGCTAGGACAGACTAAGGGGGTCCGTCCTCTAGTATACGATTTTTTGATTTTTACTTGTGATGTTTTACCATTGAGGATTGCTTTAACTGCATCAACTAATTAATATTGTTTTTCTAAAACGTTTATTTTTACTACAGGAGTTGCGTGTCTGGGATTAATAATTGGCCTGGGATACTTAAAACATGCCTACCACGAACCCATAGGTTATGAATTTAACTAAAATAAAAAAATTACTACCTTAAGTCTCTCAGTTTCTGTAAAAAAATGTTTTTTTTTAGCAATTTTTGGTTTTTTTTGGAATTTTTTTTTATTCATAATATTTTGTTCAACTAGAAAACTTGATTGAGCTAATTCAAAGTAAAATATCGAAGACATTTAAAATGTTATGGTTGCAAAAAACTGCTTTTAACTTTTTAAAAGGTTCATAGATGAAAGTAATTTTCAGGAATATAATGCAGTCTGATTACNTATATATTATCTTTGAGTAAAATCAAGTAAATCAAGCAAAATCAATTAAATCAAGTAAAATCAAGTAAATCTTGAGCGCATAAAAATGAAATGGATCCTAAACACTAGGCTGTGCCTGTACAGTGTAAAAACTTGACTAACGTTTTAATTTTAGATCTACGTATCATGGCTCTCAATTGTTGGGGAGTTCCAGGCTCTTTCGGTGCATACGACAAAGAAGTAAACATTTTTTAATGATTGATAATTTTTGGTTAAAAATGGAATGAGTTGAAATTTGTATTAATTTTGTTTTCTCTTCTATATCTGGGTAAAAGGATTGTTGAGATTTATAAAAATGGGTGCACAAGCTGCATAGTATTTAGATTGCATTGGAACTTAAACTTGGTTGATTTGGAGGACATTTTTATAGTTATAGACTAAACCTCAATCCACTTCTACTCAACCACAATATAACTTGTTTGTGTAGAAGCGAATGGTCGCTATTGGTGAGGAAATAATAAAGCGTGAGTACGATGTTTACCTGCTCGAGGAACTTTGGATGAGAAATGATCACGCGACCATTAAGAAAATAACTACAGGTTAATTCCAGCTAATTTTTAATCTATGAGAAATATATTTTTACTTATAATTGAACTGTTGACGTAAAGTGACCCGCCAATTATCAGTGCTACATACGAGATTCACAACAATACCCATAAACCCTTTATCATAAAGCAAAAACTATGGGAAATACCGAGGGGGGTATATTTTTTTGAAAATTATTTCCGGGGGGGGGGGATTCTGAAAAATTTACACCCCTGAATATAGCCGAAAAAAAAACAAAGTTACCAAAAAAATTTGTTTGAAATCGACGGTATTTTTCTCATTGTTGCTCAGATATAGGCCAGGAGGCCACCATTTTGAATCGGTCAATAATTGAAAAAGGAAGGGAATTTAAAATAATCTAACATTTCTTTCAAGACTTGTTTTTGTTTGTGTATTTATACCTTTCCCCACCTACACCTTTTTTCCATTATAGTCTAAAGTCAAATAAATTAATAATTAATCTATTGATTCGTACACATTTATGATGGTGAAGTTACGATCGCATAAGTTTGCGCATGCGCCTAAGATATTAAAATGTGTTCTCAGGGTTAACCGGTAGGGGTGAGGGCAAAATGCACCCCTTTACAATGCGCATTTGACATAAATAATGTGCTCTTCTTTAGGAAATGGACTTTACATGACTGAGATTTATGAGCTTGGACCATATGGAACCTGTGAAGGAAGATGGACACCATTGGGTTGCTCAGGGTTAGCCATTGTCTCTAAATATCCCTTTATTGAGGTAATATTTAAAAAAAAATTAAAATTGAGGCTGATGAATTATCTATCTTTTCTCTTTCAGACAGAATTCAACGTCTTCTCTGTGCATGGAGACGGGAAGAAAATTGACGGCGAATTCGAAGCTAGAAAGGTATTTTTTATTTGAGTAGAAGGATCTGAGATTTTTAAAAAAGGACTGGGAATTTAAATTGGTTGGAACTTTTTTATTCTCATTTTCCGTAGTGAAGGCAGAAAATGGTCTCAAATATTTACACCCTTTCAGTCTATGATGATCTAAGAGGATTTCACCTTATTTAGAAAATATAAAACAAAATTACAACACAAAATTATCAGTATTCACAAATCTAATTTTTATTGATATTTTAATTTCCATCTTTTAATCAAATATGTTTACATTAACCCTATCCCTGCTGGGGTACTTGAAAACCAGGATATGCTGGGGGGGGGGGTCAATTTGACCCCCCCCCTCTAAATCCCATGTTTTATGTCCAAATATGACAAATGATACATCAATAGAAAGCTCTTGTGCTCTACTTTTAGAATCTGCAAAAAAATTTGCAAAAATTGATTTTTTTCATCGCAAAATCCAGTTATAAAGTAAAAATGTTTGCAAAAAAAAATTTGTCCAAAAAAATGAAAAATTATACATATTTGAAAAGCCCTTGACCATGCCATTTAAATATGCAAAAATTTTTGCAAAATTTTAAATAACCTGATTTTTAATCAAGAAAAACTAAAAATGTTCAAATTTCCTTTGACAGGTTGTTTGCAAAAAATTTGCAATTTTTTTTCGCCAAACTTGTGCAATCCGTTTCCTTATGTTATAGGCTTTCCAAAAAGCTAAATTTTATCAAAACCTGAAAGTGAAAGTGGGTCAAAACAAAGATTTAGTTTGTTACAGGCAAAAGCAGTCATTCAGGCAGTGTGCCTGAGGACTCAGGCAGTTAGTATTTAAGCCCGGTTTTAGGCCTAAAGGGAGGGCTTTAAGTATGTAAGAAAAGTCAGAAAATTTCAACAGCCTCAGACCAATACTTTTTGAGTTATGTAAAAAAACTACAAGGGGGGGGGGTCAAATTGACCCCCCCCCCAGCAGGAATAGGGTTAAGATACGTTTAGATCATCCATGTGATCTAAAACTAGGAAGAATATACTTCTGATTAATTGCGTTTTTGATTTTGGAATATTAAATGTAACCATTAAAAGAGAAGAATAGAAATGTAAAAATAAGTGTAATTTTTTTCCTAGTTACTTTTCTAACTTTTATACTTTGGCCTTTTGAATATGTAATCTTTAATCAGGGAGTTGGAAGAGTAAGAATAGAACCGATTCCAAACATAACTTTGGATTTATTTGTTACTCATACTGCAGCCAGCAACGATAATTCGTATTATAGAGAAATCCAGGTAATTATTTTAAATTTCTGGATTATTTTGAGAAATTTTCTTAATCAATATTTTTAATCACTCCTTTCCCAAAATTTTTTCCACCATTTAAGGGGATTTTTCTTAAAATATGTTAGTATTGAGAGTTTTTTTATAATACTTTTTCCTATTAAAGTTTGCAGAAATATATGAATACGTTTTTTAGAAATTAATTTTCAAGCTGGGTATGTGGGAAAAAAATGGTACTTACTCAATTTGCAAGATTTTCTTAAACATTTTAGTTTTTTATTTAGTAAACACATTCAAATTTCTAATATCTTGGGTTGAAATGAGTTTCCCTTTTAGAGGATACTACTCTCCAAGGTTATAATGCAAGGACAGTTAATTGCAGTTGCGTATACTCTGCGTCCACATTGAAACCAGTTCTCTCTGGGCGGAATTTATAAACAAGAATAGATGCATCAGTGTTCGTTTAGTGTCCGAGGAAGTTTAAATCAATAAATTTTGATAATTTTGATATTTCACATAATAGTTTCCTATGACCAGGATATTTCTTTGATTTCTTATGTGAAAGATGGATCCCATGTCAGGCTTCGACATCCGTCTTGTGTTTACATATTACCGCCCAGAGACAGTACATTGCAGTACAAAAGATGCGTACACCTCTGAAATAACTTTCCTTGCATTATAACCTTGCTACTCTCTAAATATTCATATTTTATTTAGGCTCGAGAAATAGTTAATCATGTAAAGAATTCAACAGCTGACTTTGCAATTCTCGGTGGAGACTTCAACATAGATCCCAGGTAGGGGTTTTATACACTCATGCATGGTTTATCAACTGCTAAGAGGCTCCACAAAGTCTGAGATGATTATCATAA